CTATCAGTTGCACAGGAGATGCCTGAGGAGCGAACACGTGCATGTACGTCACAGGGAATGTGCTCGCAAAAATGTTTGTGAACATTCTTGTGAGGACCGTGTACACAGCTTCTTTATTAGTTATATGTCCTGAACTTGTTCACCTCCTCATGCGTTCATTGTGTTGTGCACTCACATAGATCAAGCCAGAGTAGTATCTCTCTCTCAGGTTGTGCAGCACAGAGGCTTCATTCAGGCAGGTGAGGTCGGCCATGTCTTCTACTTTGCTGAAGCGCGGGGGGTTCATTCGCTGCACCTCCTCCCTGGACAGAGTCACCTTCCTCTGGCTGTCCGTCAGCTCCACCTCCACCTCATCACCGCGCTCCTCCCGGATACTGGCCGACTGGGAGGAGAAGAAGGAGATTTAATAAAAGATCAAATGGGAGTTGAAGGTAGATAGAGTTTATGTTCAATGTGAGAATCAATAGGAAGACACTTCAATGTTGCTTTTGATAGGTAATACACCACAGTGAACTGCAATGATTAATCATTGTCAACAGCAATTTAACAATTAAGAGTCCTAAAAAGCAAAGCCTTTATAAGATATGCAGTCAGGAAATCAATCCCGCAATAATAAAAAAAAAAAGAATTGATCAATCTATTGAAGAAGTAATTGTGTTACTTAATTTGTTTTTGGAGATGATCAGCTTTTCTCTGTTAGATCTTATTAAACCTTTCTTTTTGGACTGACAAAGTCTAGAAAAGAGTATCATAAAACTAATAGTTAGTCTCATCCTTATATAAAGACACAAAAACAATGGTCTAGTCTTTTAACTCTACACTAACGTAGCTTACTGAAGAAAGCAAATATTGAAATATATTTGAAAAATGTTTGACAGCATCTCTGTCAGTGAGATTTAAAGTGAGAGTTGTTATTGTATTTGTCAGCAGACAAGAATAGATGGTGACAGAAAGAGAGAAACCCTCTTGCCATGCTGTCGTTCTTGTGCTTGTCGGACAGGAAGTGTGCTCTGGGTCTGACCAGGTCACAGGATTCTGCTCTGCTACACTTTGTTCTCTCTGCTACTTGACATGCATACAGAACACATCAAATATGTGCATGTCTGTGTTTTCGTGTGTGGGTGTATATTAGTCACAGATTAAACTAGATGCTCAGACCATGAAACTGGATGAAAGTGTGTCTGTCTGTTTGTTATGATTGCGTATATTTGGTATGTGTGTGCCATTCTCAGATCATGAGTGTAAAATGAAGTCAGTGGTGCTACAACGGCCTCTTTAACATTAAGAGGCTGAAGGAGGGTATTGTTCTATTCATAGAGCTTTCTATGAAACCAGTCCAGCAGAGAGGAGGAGACTTAGAGACAGGACACACAATTCACATGTCACATCCTACAATATGCACCAATATAACTCCTAATGTGCATGATACAAGTACCAAGGATAAGTGGAACAAATCATTGCTATGACATGGACCTTGTGATAGTCATTAGTCGTAAATGTGTTAGAGAGCATCACAAGGCATATTGAGGAACCTATTAGGATGAAGGAAAGCATGGAAGAAAGTGTATCATCATGAGGACTGAAACCTTATAAAACATAATAGAGAGGCGAAGTCCCGCACATCTACTTCCGCCCCATGGGACCTTATTTAGAAAAATGATGTATTGAAGTCAATGGGGAGAGAAAGATTATCTTCCGATCCCGTTTGAATTGTGCCACGAATTACACATATGATGTTTGTCAATCTTAAAAAATCATTTCCATGTCAAAAAAGTCACAGTTTGTCGTAAAACTGTTGAAATAAAAGACTATGAAAAATACGCAACTAGAAAGACTACAAATCCCAGAATCCCGGTCCCGCAAGCTGGCTCTTACGAAACCGACTAACTCCCCTGTTGTGTGTACAGCTCTCAACATGCCCAGACTTGTAGTGATTTTCACCTTTTTGAATACGTTTCACCTCATTCTGAAAGAAAGAAGTGAAATGTGCTAACGTGACGGCCGTCTTGGTGTGTGGTGCGAGACGGGAGATGTAGTTCATTGAGCGATTTCACACAAAAAAAGTGTTACTTCACAGTTTTACGACACATTTACATTTTTTTGACTTGCAAAATTATCTTTTAAATTGACAAACATCATATGTGTAATTCGTGGCACAATTCAAACGGGATCGAAAGATAATCTTTCTCTCCTCATTGACTTCAATACATACTTTTTCCGAAATAAGGTCCAATGGAGGTCCCCCGGAAAGGGAGGGACTTCGCCTCTATATAACACACACTTACAAAGACACACACCCTGTGCTGCTTTGCCTCACTTGTTTGACACACCTTTTTCGAAGGGACGCACTTTGAGCTTATTATTTACCAGAGGATTAATAATAGGGTAGTGGGAAACAGGAAAACAGGTTGAAAAAAAAAATAGAGTCCCTGTAGCCCTGGGATTCCACTATCAGTTGGGTTTTTGGAAAGAAAATGTCCTCTATTTCTTTCAATCCACGCCTTACCTCAAAGCCATTCTTCTCCGACGGCACCCACACCAGCCTCTTAGCCGCCCAGTCGGCCTGGCTGGCGGCGGAGATCGTATTTTTGGGAGACCCTGGCGCCGTGACCCCCGATGTCAGTAAGCGGGTGACATCGTTCACACCGCCCCCCGTTGGCTTGGACATGGTTCTACTGGCACTGTGTGAGGGAAGGAAAAGTGAAAAAACAGTTGAACATTAAAGAGCGAGCCGGTGTTGAGAATGTATTTTCTTCACAGGCCTACTGTCTTGTTGGCTTAAATCGGGAGCACTGGCGATGATGACTGACGATGAAGGACTGACAGACAGGGACACTGATGTGATTCTTGGTCAAGACACACACACAAAATGTATGTGCAGCCACACATAAAGAAAGAGCAGTAGTGAGCATGCAAGTTGCATGCAGGCCATTTCCAGCTGAGATTGGGTCAGAGATGGCCTAATTGAAAGACAGCAAATCAAGGAGAAGAAGGGGGGAAGAAGACAGAGAGATCCGAGGGTGGAGGGGTGGAAGGTGGAGGGAGAGCGAGATACATCAATCGACTGAGTAAACTGACATGACAGGCAGAGGGGGAGGGAGGGCGAGGAAGAGGAGGAAAGGGTGGGATAGCAGTGAAAAGAGAGGCTGGAAATGGACTGAATATATTGTTAACTGAAAGAAAGTGAAGCACCCTTCCTTCTACTAGGGGCCGCTCAGTAGAGATAAAACTCTAGTGAAGCCCCCACTGAGGGCTAGGAGACACAGTGAGGTGACAGTAGCTAGAAGTGGAACATGAAGAAACAGCAAGACATCCTCCAGTCAGAGACACTGTAGCGCGAGAACAAGGTGTTTCTTGATTTAGTCTGACAAGTAAGAAATAATGTTCAGCTGAGAGAAAAATCTCTGGAAGGAGGAGAAAACTTTATTTTGAGGCTAGTAGGAGTGACATCGTTTCAGATGGGTTAGCTGTTGCTGTCACCCGTGGACAGAACCTGCCATCAGATAATAAGGGGTGCAACATTTAGTTTATTTAAAGAATCAGCTCTTTCGACAATCAATTTGTGATTTACGTAGTTTTTCACAAACAATGGGAATCATTTACTGGTCACAGCTTCTCAATGAGTGTTAATCATATTAAAAATACAGTTAATAACATTATGTGTGTTAGCACGAGGCTATTAACAACCCTGCAGCTTAGAATCTGACTAAGCGACTTATTACACAGCAACTACACATTTCCACACAACTCTTATTCTAGGAGAACAGAAAGATAATTCTTCCAGATAATGAATCTGAATTTATTTTTGCAACCGAGAAAGACATAGCCTACAATTTCAGAATGAAACCGTGTCACCAGTCTCCTGAAATCTGAATGATGCCTGATTGCTGATGTATTAATACACTGTTTTAGTAATTGAAGAACTATTTTTTTGTATCAAAATAATGTACAACAGATACAAAACTGGATTCTATAGAGGAAAGAGTTGACACAAGATGTTCAGGGAAAGAGGCGTGCTTGAGTAACAGCAAATGTCAACTTTGATCAGACAGGTATTTGTGCCGGCCAGTTAACTGTTAGGCGTCTCCATGCCTATGCAGGTATGTTATCTGGCTTGATTCCTGCTATGCATGTCACTCTCAGGATTTTCATTCTGTCTGTTCCTGACAGAGCCCGGTCCCCAACCCTGCCTTAACCATACCTGTTACTGCAATACGACTCAGGGTGTGGAGTCTACTCGATGACAAAAGAGTTGCCACCACCCAGCCGCTCAGTATGGGAAATATGTGATCCCTCAGTGGCATCAAACAGCTGAGCATCTGATTTTAAAGGCTTGCTTTACCATAGTGTTCTCTTAATGTCAACCAAATCCAATGAAAAGACCAACACCAGCAATTCGGTAGTCCATTTGAAATACTTCTCTACTTTGAATGTAAACCTGAGTGTTTCTACCAAAGTTATTTAGAAGCTGGTCATACAAATATGTGGTTTTGAGGCTTTTGATTTAGTGCAACTGTCGGCACCATAGTTTTAAAGCAAACATAAGTAAAAAGGCAATTGTTGGGGAATACTTTCGGCAAATTATTTTCATACTGTAGTGAGTATTTACTTCACCAGGACAAGTATGTGGTTCTTATTGATAATCTAATTTTCTTCTCAAAGGTATTGGAAATGGATGAATCTAATAAACGTTTTATTACATACATGCATAGCACAGAGCACACAGTGAGTGTATACTCTGTATGTAACCTAATAGTATTAGGAGGAGTGGGCAGCTACTGTACAGCTCCCGGGGTTAGGGCTAACCATTGAAGAGCCTCCATGTAGCTGACTGATGTGTTTAATGGTTACTAGACAAGAGTGGAGGTCTGTGTGCATCGGAATAATTATATATCAGGCTTCGGCTATACAGAGATGACTTCATCGTGAATTAATTTGTGTTAGGTTTTTTTAAACAATGAGATGAATCACCCTTATTACTAATTCATCTTTAACAGTGATAATAAAACAAGACTTAGCATGTCATCATTTAAGCTGCAGTGTGGGCTGTTGCTGCTGACTCCCATTGATCCCAACTATTCACGTAAAGCAAATGCTTCACACTCACTCACTCACTCACTCACTCACTCACTCACTCACACACACAAACACACACACCTCACAGGTTGTCGCAGTACAGCCTGGGCTGACCATCAAACTCATCCTGCAGCAGCTGGAGTTGCCAAAAGCTGACCGCTCTCCTCCATAGCAACACCAACAGCAGCCCACGAGACAATACCTCCAGCGTCTGAACCGAGGACATTCAATGCGGGGGGTCTTGTGGGGGGTGTGCCCCTGTATATGTCTGTGTGGGTAATAAATGTGTGGGTGCCTGCGCGTGATTGTGCGTGTGCTAAACGGGTGGGGGAGCAAACAGGAGACGCCTTTTTTCTTCAGCTTTGCATCGGTGATGGTATATTGTGTCATATGCGCACTTTAGCGGACAGTGAGCTGGTATTATTAAGCCATTGTGGCTATGATGATAATTACAATGCGGCTGCATTACACTATAGCTGCGGAGTGACCCCTACATATTACCTGCATTTTAAGACTGTTACTACAGCAGAGAAACTGACGAAAGCAACCACACCTTGAACATAAGACATGAACAATCACATGAGCCCTAGCCTGAAATTAGTGGTGATCCGCATGTAGCAACAGCAAAGCCATTCTCGCTGAGAAAAATAGCCATTATTATGATGTGACACAAAGATCACAGTAGGCCAATAGGCTTAATAATAATGATATGGGTCGAAATCCCTACTAATGTGGCCATTAGACAGAATCAATGTCCAGACTTCAGGTCGTCTGGATGTAAGCCCCTCTGTGGAAGCGAACATAGTGATGAAAACTGAACGTCTCTTGTCCCAATACGTCTCATTATTAGGGTGTAATGCCACCGCATTTAGACCAACCTAGCGAGGTTAGCCAGCTACTCTGAAATATGATACGTTCAGGATATTACACCGGCTAATAACGAGTTGGATTAGAGAAAAGGGAATTAAATCTCTCACCTTCAGGTTCGGCTCAGAGTGTTGGGTAAGGCTGTGATGCGAGGAGAACCTGGGTGAGGCTGTTTCGTTGGTATTTTCCTGCCTGAGAGGTGTGTGTAGCTCACCGCATATGCGGCTTTTATCATTGCACCGCTCTGTCGCTGGAGACCGCACTCACTCGGCGAGAATAAAACAGGGAGCAGTGAGGGCAGGGCGACGGCTTCAGCCCGGGAGACACTTCCTGATAGCAGACCAACCAGGTTCGAGGAGACGGTTTTTAGTCAAGCCTTACATAGCAAATATTCCAATCAAAAGCCACAACAGAGCAGTAGACCCGCCTAATGAATACGACGGGATCTTTCCGCCCCACAACTGGCATGAAACGGGTGCAGCAACGAATGGCGTTAACAGCAGCGCGACGACCTCCGCTATTAGCCAATGATAACTGACAGGGGGCGTGGCTAGCTGTAACTGACGTGACAAACAGCCAATTGGAAGGCTGCAACAGGTGCCTGTGCGGCACTCTCGCGCTAGAGTAGTGAGATTTGCGCGCCCTTTGTTTACCACTGTGGCGGTGAGGGTCCGCAGACACAGATCTCAGATCGGATTTGTTTGAATCCCCAAACAAACACAACCGACGGTTAGCTTTGAATGATCTGATCCTAGGCGCGTAATACAGATCACATCACTATATCCGACTGTAGCTGGGGTACCAGGGTTCCAGGGTTATCCTTCAATATACCTCAACTTTTCATTTTTATTTATTCAGTCAAATTAAACAATACATGAAAAATAATTCCATCTCACTGTCACTAAAGTAAGCCTATGAGGCTCTGGAAAAGATAAATGTTCCTATAAAAACTAATTGCAAAAGAAGTGTATGTGTTAATGACTATTTTCCTTTTAATGGCAGGTTAGTTTTTGTGTTCTCCATATGATATAATACAAATATTATTATAGGGTTATTAATATTTTCAGAAGGTGTGTTTTCTTCTTCTGACTTCTCGGCAGTAATCGTTATGCAAAAGGTTATAGGTCATTTAGACATACGTTACAACACGATAATATAATCTATAAGGGTTAATTGTCATTGTATAATTCTGTAATTCTGTCTGAATTGTTTGGTTAAGGTTTAAGTTCACATAGGCCCCTACGCAAACATAGATGTTTAGTGTGGTGATAAATTACACTTTACATCTAGATGATATGTTTTAAAATGATCAAACTTTAAGGAAAATCAATGACGAAGCAAACAATAGAAATTCAATCCCTGTGTTTTATTTGCTCTTTAAAACAGTTCAGTTTCATTTGGAAGTGTCCCATGTCTGAGGCAGTTTTGAAATTACATTTCAGTGGTGAAGCAGAAAGGTTTCCATTTATCTTTATAAAATTGACCTAGCTAGCTACAGCCTATATTTGTTTCATCTTATTCATTTATTAAAAATGTATATCATGTCTTTTACACTGTGTATATTATACATACTTATGATATAAAAAGTGTGAGCTTTGAGCATTGAATCCTAATCAACCAGTGAAATAACCCGAATAACCTATGTGTTATTGGGGTTTTGAACAGCGCTATCGTAAAGTGATGGTGCAGAAAGTTCAAGTTACAAGTGGAGGCAGGGTGAGAGACATGACCCACCACGCTTCCTATAAATAGTACATGGAGCCATGAAGGAGAGGTGTAAGATAGGACACAAACCTAAAACAGCATTAACACTATTCTTAAAAGTTAATATGTTATAAACACCTCAAACCCCACTGAGGTAAGAATCTTTCAATAATAATAGTGAAACATTGCGACCGATGCATTGAGGTTGACGTGCTGATCCAGCAACACTACTGTGATGTTTGATTAGTGATACAAGTCTCCATATAGCCCACTACTTTTGTGCAAAGAACAAGTTCCCAGGATGTGCGTTGGACAGGCTGATTATTGGTCAACATTTAATATCATGTTTAGTCCTCCTGACACTGAGTTACCTTAACCAACACATTCTGTAATCAAATACTTAAAAACTCTGGTGGTTACAAGATCTAAAATAAACAAGAGCATTCCAAGTGTTTTGCAATATAACTACAAAGTGCAAACAAATAAATACATCAGTCTCCAATACAATACATCTGAAAGTCCCTTTATGTTCTCAGTTTATGTTCATAATGAGACTTCTCTATCACTTAGCAGAGAATAGGCATTTTTGTCTACTCAGAACAACATCCTGCAAAGTGATTGAAAAAACATTCATGCATTAGAAGCATTATGCAAATACACACATAAGCTTTAAGCACATTTCATATTAACATAACATCAACTGCTGCAGATGAAGAGCCAGTTGCAAAATCTCTGGTTTGTTAAGAAGGCACCGCTCACTACACTGTTCTCACAATTTGTTAGAGAAACCAAGAATTAGAGTAGGGGGTCATTTAATGTAGTGGGCACAAAAATACTGAATACTTTTATATTAATCTGGTGTATTTTCCAGTTCAATCCACATCCACTTGTCCAGATGTTAGAAAGAGGCTCTATTTCTCAAAGACGAAGAACGACAAGCCACGATCCCCATCGTTACGTCAAAGATCTATATTAATGAACTAAACTGGACAACATCATCTGTCATTGTTTGAAAATGATTAAAGCTACAATGATTCCTCTGACCAGATGGCATTCAACTCAACACAAGTGTTGGATTAAATGAAGCAAATGTTACAATCGTTGACATTTTTTTTGCATTACAAATAGGAGAAAAAGCCAAAAATAAGAACATGACATGGAAAAGAAACTGCTCAAAATTGCTGCTACTTTTCAGCTGTTTCTCCCTGTCCATGCTGTAGCTCTGCTTTGCCTCTACAAGTAGCCTTAACTCAACTATATTCTCAACAGCTCCCCCAAGCTCAAAGTATCACAAAATAATACACTATCCATACTTACCATATGAAAATATAACAGTATAAATGATAAATCAGCATCATAGTGGGTTACATTCCTGAGTTGTACCTCAGAAGGTACACTTCCATTCATTTCATACAGAAGGACCTAAAACAGAGGTCAGCAATGTCAGCAGATCCCAAAACTGGAGGTGCAGTTACATGGTAGAGCCACCATGGGGTGCTCTTGTATATTGTGCAACACAGGCAGTAGAGTCAGGTGGGCGTGTTGTGGTGTGATGGGCCAGATGTTAGTCTTGGCAAACACGTTTTCAATGATCGTGAAAGATTGCCAGGACCAATTAGACAACTAAACCAGTGTAGTAACCCTGCTCCCCAAAAGAGTGACTCAAAACCATGCTCAAAACCTCCCACTGTCTCTCTATCTGTCCATTTCCTTAATATGTCTCTGAGGTATCTAATCTGTATAGTAGCACTCATCTCAATCTTGATCATTTTTAAATGTCTAGGCGATCACTTGACTTGTTCCTGCTCTGGACTTTCCTTACCTCTCCAATTGCAGTAAACAATGCAACTTCGTATGATGTATCCCAACACTGACCCCATTTCCTTGGTTGGCCCATTCCTATACCCGTCTTACCCTCTCTATGAGCCTGTCTTTTAAGCCACTGGGTCAACTTCCTCCTCTATTCTCTTAAGGACTCCTGTCCTACAGGTTCAGTTGTAGTGGAGATGTTCTGCCAGGGATTGCCTTCTGGTCGGAGAGGATGGACACTCGGGGTCTTTGCCAGGCTCTTTATCGGAGGAGATTAGCTCCAGAGCCACTTCGTTCTCATAGCAGAATGACGAGCGTGAGCCGTGAATGCACTTCTGCTCGACCAACTCTTTAGCGCTGCATGAAGGGGTGTCCGGGATCTCATATGTCCGATGAAAGAATGAGTAGTCCACCTGGAAAAATGGCAGAAGACTTTTTAATACGCATAAGGTTACAAGTTGAGAGTCGAAAGCCAGGCTAGCAGCTCTGTGAGGCTGTATTTGGGTATAACAGTGCTATTCTCACAATAATAATATTGACATGCTGTTATTTAGAAATGCAATGGTACAGTTTATGTGTTCAACATCTAAGTGTTATATGTTAGCATGCTAACATTAGCTATTTAGCACTAACCATGGGTACAACAAGTGCAACTGTGGCTGATGGGGTTGTCTGATTAGTTATCCGGTCAAATGTCAATAAATGCAAAAGAAAGTTGATCCATTTTCTTTGTTTCGGAAACTTAAAGTTTTTGTCCACAATACATTAATTATTACACAAACCTATTATCAAGATTGTTACAGATTCATTGAATAGTAGACTACTAATCGATTCATCTTTGCAGCTCTATTTTGCAGACCATAAACCAAAGTAATGGACATGCCCTAATTAATATGCAACATCCTTTCCCCCCCCTGTACAGTTCATCTCTACTAACTTCCTTTCTGACCTGGTAGCAGTCTTTCCTCTCGAAGAGCACTGGTTCGAATCGGTGTCCCCAGGTAATTTCAGAAGCCAGATATGAGCTACGGCACTGTGTGGTCATGGCTGTGGCCTCCACCATGCCCTCAAGTATGACCACCACCTCCAATTCAGAATCATTCTCCAGAGTCTTTCGGTCAATCTCAAAGAAGGGTGACTCGTCATCAATCTCATGGACTATTGTCACTGGCGAGACCAAGAAGATGCGGTCTGTGCCGTTATCAAAACCCACGTTGATGTCCATATTGTCCAGCGGGAGGAACTCTCCCTCTTCTGTCACCCGAGGCTGAAATTGAGAATGGAGAAAAGTCACAATTGGATATATTAAGCCTTAGACATAGCATGTTGTTATGCTGCACATTTTCATATGTGGGAAAATATTGAATGGAGGCTAGAACCTATTTAATAATGAATCAAATTAGCAAGAAGCCGGGGTCACGTGATCAACCGAAGTGAAATCAAACCTTTATTCTGGCTATAAAATGCAACTCAGTTGTAAAGAAAACGGGGGATTGATCGGAAACCTTGAATATTGTCAATGGACATTTTAAATACACTTTAAGATACACCATCCCCAAGGTCATCTTTAGAACATATCTGAACCTGACGCAAAAGCTTAGTATTAGGTTACTTTAGTCATACATAGGCTTAACACTCACCCAACTCTTACTATGGAACAATATCCAGACCCAGCCTTTAGAATTGTATTTCTTTGATCCTCGCAAACTTAATCCCATCTGCCCAGGGTGAACTTTGATATGGTCGTGCTATTAAAAGGGATCAAATTGTCTATGCTCTAGTCCTAATATTCCACAGAGTTTACCCTCCGGACAGCTCTGGCAGCATAAACAGTTATACACAGCGTGGGTGATGACAAACATTCATAGTAAACATGTTTTAAAGTACCCAGACTGTATGGTAAACATCAGCATAATTACAGTACAATCACCTAACTCACATACAGCAGACATAAGGGGAAATGAGATGACGAAGGACAATGGCTCTCAGTTAAAGAATTGTGGGCAAGTTAATCCATGGTAAATCTTCCTAACCCCTGAGGGGAAATAAAACAAGCTCTCATTAACTACGGTCCACAGAATACAGGCCAGATGGTCTAAGCGCTCTCTCTTTCTCTCCACTGCAACCTTTTTCCCTCTACCGCTATCTCTCTAAACAAATTAAATTTTCTTTTTGGTAAATTGGTTTACGTCTGCTTTAGCATCTCCAATTGACATCATGTAACTTAAAATAGAAAAGCTTTCCTCTTTTGATAATTGCCAAACTTTCTGGCGTCTCTATTTCCTATCATGGTAATGATCTCCCTTCACTTACCTTCAGTAGTTGTGCTCGAACATGTGCTTCTACCAGGTGGCTCTTGCGTAGGTTTCCGACCCTCCACATCATACAGAGTTTCCCATCCCTCATCGCCACCACAGCTGTTTCAGAGAAAACCAGTGTCTCGTTGCGCTTCTTGGGCTTAGCAATCTTTGCCATAACTGCCCCGATGATGAAGGCGTCAATAATGCAGCCCACAATGCACTGCAAAATGACCGCAATCACCGCCAGGGGACATTCTTCGGTCACACTTCTGAAGCCGTAACCAATGGATGTCTGCGTCTCCAAGGAGAATAGAAAGGCTGCCATGAAGCTGTTCACCTGGAGGAAGCATTTCTCCTCCAACACTGCCTCTCTATCAGACTCTCCTCCGGACCCGGCCTCTCCTGATCCTGGAGAGGAACCTGAGCTGGGGGTTAGCCGAATGGAGAAGTCCCCATGCATGGAGGCAATGAGCCAGAAGACAAATCCAAAGAGTAGCCAGGAGAGAAGGAAGGAGAGGGTGAAGATGACAAGCATCCAGCGCCAGCGGATGTCCACACAGGTTGTGAAGAGGTCGCTGAGGTAGCGCTGGCCCCTCTCGCTCATGTTGACGAAGGTGACGTTGCAGCGTCCGTCCTTGCCCACAAAGCGTTGTCGGGGCCTGCGGCTGGAGCGCCTGGTTCGCCGGCGGTTGGTAGTGGAGGGGGAAGAGAGCGATTCTTGGTCCGAGGATGAACGGACCTTTCCTCTTCCCCCTACACTACTGCCTCTTGCACTCCTTAGTGCCGAGCACATTCCTCCTGCTCTCACCCCGCCTTCTCCTGCATCTCCCCCGACTCCAATGGCACTCTGCCTCCGTACATTGTTGGTGTTGCTCTGGAGTGGTAGAGGTATGCCGTTTAGGGCATGGGTCGGGGATAGGCTGGTTGGGGTCGCTGACCCCGTTGGACTCCCCCCTGCCCAAGCCGTATCGGCAGCACTCTGTGCCAGCCTCATGACCTCCTCCTCCTCCACTGGCCCATCAACCACAGCACTGAAGCGCCGCTTCACACGTGCTGCTCCCATCATGTATAATAAAGTGTCCTCCCTCGTATGGTGAACAGTAACTGTATTCCTCAGTGTTGCCTTGATTTGATTGTTGATGTGCATGTAAGCTCCTTGATACTATCAGTTCAGTATGTAGTGCTAACAATGCAGTCCGTCTTTCAGTCCTTAATGAAGAGACAACTGCAAGTCCAAAGAGGCAAATGGTAACCAGAGGATAATGCCCTCCAAGACCATTGATCAGTCACTTACTTTCCCCAAAGTGTAAGTATCTCCCAGTAGATTCTATCTTTTCAGTAATAGATTCCACAGCAAACAGTGTGGGCTTTCTTGAAGTAGGGTTCATGGGTGCATCAATTAACAACAAATATCCTTAAATCATACTCCCTGAGCGAGGCGAGCTGAAAAGAAGAATGTCAGCAGCAGTCCGAGGAGTCTTATCACTGTGACCCACAGTTTACAATAATGTCTAGGAGTGGTGTGGCCTGATTGATCACGAAAGCATGCAGGATTGGTTCAGTTCAAAACAAGCCTCAAGCAGGTATAAGGTAACAAAAGCTTTAAACTGATAATGCAATCGGGTAGCAGGTTGAAGGATGACATGTAAAGGATATACAGCTTGATACAGGGTTCTTACTGTGACAAGATGCATACAGACAGATCAATGCAAGAGATTAACTTAAAATGGGATGATATGATAAAAACATGTTCAACATGCAGTCAGAAAAGAAAGAAAAAACATGCCAATTCTTACAATGAGTTTTCTCCAGTTTCATAATCCCTTGGGATGGGTATGAGGAAACAAAGAGTACAGGTCTTTCAGTACACTCAAACGCCTACTATCATCAATGACTATTCAGTGCAAATATATATTTGATAAAGCATTGAGGATACTACAAACAATTGTGTTACAGTGTTACATTTCAGTTGCCAAGAAAATGTCAGCTTTGGCCAACAAGAGCATCCCAACTTGAAGAGGCATGTCTGGTTGCTACTTCCTTTTTGATCATGTCACTGCTTTTACAATTTCACATTTTCTTTCCAATGGTCTATACATCTGTATGAAGGCCATTGTCAGTTTTTTTGCGGGATGTTTTACTGACTGAATAATATTGACCTGAACTACAGTGGTGTTATCACCTGCTACACTTAGTCTTTCAGAGCAGACATACCTCATTACAGCTCAGCATTAGGGCTAAGAAATCGCATTTACCTGACAAAAGATAGGATGAGAAGAAAAGAGAGTTTACTTTGACCAATCTCCAACACTACTTAAGTTTTAAGCTTCAAGTCACATTGAGAGTAAAGGTAAGAATACAGGTCACCTTAGGAAGTGCTCTATGATCGAGGCGGGGCACCAAAGTGGATAGATCAGGTGTGTGCCACAGAAGGAGAAGTGCTGCGAACTAAAGGGGCTGAGAGCGTAAGTGGGCTTTTGGTTTGTAGTTTGTACTCATCATCGGTGTTTGAACTAGGTAAAAAAGGCAACATGAACATGAGAGGATTTCAATAAACAAAATAGAAGATTTTCATTGTCAAAAACATGGATGAGCATAGAAAATTCCTTAATATAAAGTCCCAATTCTTGAAAACCGATTTGAAAATGTGTCAAAAATCAAAAGCTATGCTTGTATATTTAGTATTTGCCTTGCCCAACCATTTCAGGAGAACTCTTCCACGTATCCCTGACAAGAACACAGAGTTTCACATACTTGTTGGAAAAGTAGACTATACACATAACCCTGCACTGTGGTGAGAACAATCCACTGCTATAACGGTACAAATAAAGAAGCCATTTTCTTCAACCAGTTACAGCAGGGAGGACAAAAGTCTACAACAAATGGAAATGGGGAAAGAGATCCCTCCTGAAGTGTGAAGTGACATAAGGGTTCATCTTGGCTTATGTTGACCTCTCTTTATGACACATGTTCAGTGTAAAGCCATTGATCTTTGGAGAAAAGTCAAGGAAAGAGTCTGCTGGTTTTCCGTACTCTTTACCAAGATGTTGCCGTTTGATTTTCCTTTGACAGTCTTGAAACAAAAAGAGAATAACAATTAAAGGCGAGGTAAAACATTTAAAACTGCTGAAACAGATGCTTCAGTAGTTATCCTTTTGTGTCAAAAGAGACCTTTCTCTCTTGAAATCACTGAATATATTCACATTTGATATCAATTCAAATCTTAAACACACTGTAAACAGTATAATGTACCTTTTAGTTACGCTCTTATTCAGTCCTTGCATTGGTACTGGACGCGTTAGTCATTCCTTTTCACATGAAGAACCAAATTCCATCACGACAAAGGAAAACACGTGCCCAGATGTGAAAGCATGGAGCCTGGGAAGAGAAAAGGACAGAAATAATAACATAATTTTCCATTTCTATCTTATGAAAACAATTCTGTACCTTAAGGGCAGAAATCAGTTTCAAAGCATACACCATTTTAAGCTTGGGCATTCTGAAGTGCAGCTGTTATTCATCAAAATATATTTCTATGTACTGATGGATGTAAGTTCATAGAGAAAACTGTCCCATTACCAAAAAGGACTGACCTTCAGTTAGGAAACCAAGTGGTACAGGATGACCTTTCTTTGATAAACAAGTATTGGTGGATCAAAGCCAATGGACTTGAAGAATTGGAGGGGATTTATTTGGGCCAATGTTGAGACTGGGAATGTAGTTCAGATGAAGGACTGAGATAAACTGGACTGGTTGGGGGGGAAGAGGTCGTATGTCTTGCAGGGGAGATGGCGATATGCTGTGGATTACAGCTGCGCTCGTGATTTTGGTAATCTCACCGGTGGTCTAACTAATCCCTTGAGGATTTACGTAAGAGCCACTACACAAGGTGGCAAGGATATCATAAAGTATGTTTCTATTTATACACATAGAAGATATGAATATGATGTGGGGAAAAGTATGATATACTATTGTATGATATAAACCAACAAATGTAACTGTCTACAAATGCTGACTTGTAAATACAGTGTTTAGCTTGAGTTGCTTTCACTAGAATTTGAAACATGTCCTCGTGTTCTACATCGATGAATACAAAAAACAGCATCCTTTTGGCCACTGTAATTGAAAGAGTCTGCTGCTTAACTGTCAACTAATGTGTGGATCATCATGCTGGTGTGATGTCATAAGATCTGGCGATGAGAGGGGAGATGAGAAACCACTCATTTAATGCATGAAAAGGCGATAAAACTTCTAACAAATGTACTTTCTTTGGGTAAAAAGAATGCAAACCAGTACAGGATTTGCATAATTATACTAAATAAAGTACCTAAACTTTTATTAAACTGCTAAATGTAGTAAAAGTTGTAATACGTTAGGTACCTTATTAACTAGACAAGAAATTGTAAATGGTGGAACAATATATGAAGTAAACTCAGATTGAACCGAGAGATCTTTTAAGGTCTTTCCCATGAAATAATAAAGACAGACTTTCCAAGACTTATGTTGCTCAATGTTCAGTTAATGAACAGATGTGTGAGTAGGCAGTCCTGACCTTGAGGTCTCTACTGTAGCTCCTGCCAATGCTACATAATGAACACGTTCTCAGGTCTGCCATCTCCGTGATTGGGTTGAAGTGTCGCTGGACAACTGACGACAGTAGCTGGAGGAGGTGATGAGGGGTGTGTGTGTGTGTGTGTGTGTGTGTGTGTGTGTGTGTGTGTGTGTGTGTGTGTGTGTGTGTGTGTGCAATGTGAGGGGTAAATGTGTCCTTATCCTGGCGAGGTGACAAATGTCTCAAATAACTTCTCATATAAGAACCTGCAGGGCTGTGTGGGAAAACACATGTGAAGCTTCACAGTGTCAGGCGATCAGAGCAGTTCTGGTCTGCAGTCCTGCCTCGTTTATGATAAATGCTGAAACATGTTTTCTAATGTTTGATCTTCTAATGTTTGTCGGTCCTTCTAAAAACCAGATCCTTTGCAGCAAACACCAGACTCTTATATTATGTACGGGTTGACACTTGAGGGCAAACCAAATACAATTACCTTCAACATTTTTGTTTTACTTGTGTGAATATATATTTTTGAGGGTATAACAGTGTTTTGCATTTTATTGAGTACACATTTGACATGTTGGGAGAGGCATTGATAATCACAACCAATCAGGTGGAGATAGGGTCATTAGTAAACCCCTATAGATCAGGGGCCGTATTCACAAAGGATCTTAGGGCTAAAAGTAGCTCCTAACTGGAGAATTTAGGAGAAACTCCTAAACATAATGGGCGCGTCAGTCTTAAATTTAGGACTCCTAATTTTATTCACTAAGAGCAATTCACAAAGTATTTTAGGCCTAAAAGTAGCACCTAAGTCTGGGAGAGCTTAAAAGTCCTCGAGAGGACTCCTAACTCAGTAAGACCTATTCACAAAGAATCTGAAAATGGCTGAGAGATGAAATGTTTTGGAGACAATGGAAGACTGTGAATTGATCAAGAGATATAGGCTAAATCGTGAGGGTATCAAACTTGTTGTGGAATTAGTGCGGGATGCAATAACATCCCCGAGTAACAGGAATAACCCGATTAGTCTGGAAATAAAATGTTTGGCAACACTACGATATTTAGCAACAGGGAAAATGCAACTTTGCAATGCCGACGATTTAGGAATATCGCAACCATCAGTCAGCCGTGCCATAAACCAAACCATCAACGCGCTCTCTAGACCACATATCATCCAACAGTTTATCCGGTTTCCTTTGGACAATCAACAACTACACAGGATCAAAGCCAACTTCATGGCAATTGCAGGTATGCCCGGTGTGGTCGGTGCTATCGACGGGACGCACATAAAAATAATTGCGCCATCAAAAGATGAGGACGTGTTCGTCAATAGAAAGAAAGTACATTCCATCAACACGCAGATTGTTTTCATTCATCATGATAGGGGGACTTGAACGGCGGTATGGGCTGTTATTGAAAGTGTTTAAGTGCTGGAAATATGCTCATTGGATAATAGTTTGCAGGGTGCTTTTAATTGCCTCCTTGATTTAATGCAATTTACGTATTTTTATTGTTTGCTCTCTCTCTTTAACGTGCATATACAACGTCATTATCGTGGTCTGCACAAACTTGTCATCATGCGTGTATTCTGCTAACTGCACTGTCCATAACTATTTGATAGGAATACATTTCTAGCCTAGGCTATTTCCTTGTTTTAGTGGGCTCGTTTGTGGG